TACATTATTTCAGTTAGTCGACGTGCTCAAATTGGCCAACGAACGCCTTTTATAGATTTTGAATTCAACTCGTGAATTCAACATCATGCGTTTTTGGAATTCCCCGTATAGTTTCTCAGTACACTGAGAAAAAAAGAAAAACCGCCGCTTAAAGAGGGTATCACAAAAGTGACGCATAATAGCGCGATAAAAAAAAAATATTTTAGAAGTTCCAAATAGTGTTTTATAGGTAGGTAGATATAATTTATCCACATGTTTGAAAACTACGAAAAAAGTGCGTTTAGACGTATCTATCAAACTAAAAATACATTTTCGATGTTTATTGTATTGCACAAAGTGGGCTTTAGGATATACTTTGTACAAGATAATACGTTTGTTTTTTTTGTAATTTTCAAACACAAATAAAACGATTTTTATTTGAGGTATGTATCTATGCTTTTATTCATCGTAATTTTTGGCCTCGTTTTCGTTTTAATTTTAACTATTTATATTCAATTGTTATTTATGTTTCGTAGTAACAATTTGAATGTGAACATTAATAGTTTGAACTATATGATAAAATATTTTAATTTCATCGACAAAAATGTATTATTCTGTCAGTTCTTTTGTCAAAATGTGAAATTCCTCGCAGATAATATTATCAGAGAATTTGATCATTTTAATATAATAATATTATATATTATTATATATTTGAAGTGTTGTTTTATACAACCCGAGCTGCGTATAGTAACCTGACCTGCACTCAGAATCGTTTTCGAATAAATTCCGGTGATTTATCGTTGTTTTAAAATTTATAATAAAACAATATACACTGGTTTTTGCCGAGGTGAGCGAATCTGAGAGAATAGTGCCCCACAGCCGGTCCGCAGTGGTGTATCCCGTTCGCACTTTTAAACATTAATTTCGACGGTTCACATTATATAATATACTTTACATTGTTTTACGCCATTCCGCCGGGATCCATCGATCTCGCCGCCGTCACCTCCATACAGTAGCCTCCATTAACGAAACATGTCCGCGCGGCATCTGGACGGGAAAAAAGATCGAAACACATAAAAACAACCACGTTGGTCGTAAAACCGATACACGCATTCCTCGCCCTTATTCGTTTGGGATCAGCTATAATAGATACTGACGCCGTTAAACACGCCTCGTACAACAATAACAGTCGTATTATATGTAATATCATAGACCCGAGTACCTACTTATATGTCAAAACCACAAAGTCTTACGCCGAACGCTGCGCAGTAAGTGATAATACAAAATATGATAGTTAAAATCGTAGACGGCACTCTCTCGTCGACGAAGCGCAGAAGGAAAACCGTACGATTTTATGAGCTATTGGTTGTGTGGTCTACAGCAGTCATCAAATTTAATATTTTAATATATTATGATCGTACATACACCGAAACGACGTAATAGTATATTGATTATTTGGCAACATAAGAATTCTACAAAAGTTGTTCATAATTTCATAAGTGTATATTTTATTCAAAATCGTTTTACGAGTGGTCGTCTACGACACTTCATGTGCAGTAGGTATGTGCGTGTATAATGGTCATAATGAGACATTGTATGTTTGTTTTTTTCAAACAAATAATTTATTGTTACCATCGAATTGAGTGCATGTTAGTTAAATATTATTAGAGTTTTGATAATTTACATTAGTAATATGTTAAAAGATCGTAAAATATAATACAGCTTTCCGGTAAACAATATTATATTAGGTGTTTGCGCACGCGGGCGTCAAGCATCATTGACATCGATGATGATACAATAATAATTCGTGATCTCTGTGACCCAATTAAACCGTGTCACCCCCTCCACCCGCTTTCCCTTGACGATTCGATTTCGCGGGGTGGAATAATAACATTATTGTGGTTCATATAGTCGACGGGCGCCAAAAACAGCTCCCGTAAGCGTGAAACGTTTATTGAACCGCATAGCAATATACACACATATACATACATATATATACATACATATATATTAAGCTGCGCCACCATCGTCGGATAGGTCACGTAACGATAAAACCCATCACTCGCCCGGGAAAACAGTACGTGAGCGATTCGTATTTGATACGCGAGCCGCGGTCGGTCGGTGGGTGAGGGGTTGGTGGTGGGTGGTCGGTCGAGTCGACAACTATGCGGAAAACTATGTCCGTCGAGGAGAATTTATAATTGTTGTTGTGTGCTCGCAGCGGTCCATCCGGTCCACCGAAATGTTATTATTATGTTTCGTATATGTAATAACGCTGTGGCGGTCGAAACAACGAGCGATATTTTATAAGTATAATAATAATATAATATTATGTATAATGTATCATAACAACCATTACCACTGTGGTATGGCCTCAGTCGGACACTATTTGGAGTTGGTTTAGTGGAGAAATTTCGCCTGAACCCGACCGGAATACATCGTAAATGTGATTGCGTGTAAGAAAGCCGGTGGTCACTACGCGTGTGTCCAAACGATTCTAGGGTATAGAATTATTCAATTCCAATAATGAGTCATTTTTTTTTTTTATCTGAACAATTTATATGCCACCACAGAATTGTTTTAATCAAATCGAAGTGACGAACGGGAGAGATTACAGTTTCAGGCGCTCCGGATAGGCAATTCAGCTACAGCCCCGTGGTCGAGAGTCCAACACCATACGCCGTTCATCTACTCTAATAATAATTACTGTGATCGTGCATATCGGATTATGCCATAAAACACTGTTCACACTATTCGAGCTATTATGAACATCGTAAAACAATATTTTAGCTCAGTATAGGTAATAATATTGATTTTTGGGTAACAACCATGTTGATGTAATTAAAAATGTTTTTTATACGTCGTCCATAATAGGTTTAACCGTCGCGGTATGACGGGACGGTCGTGGTATTAATTATTGCACCGAATTTAATCATGGCAGTTTATAAATAAAATATACCAATTTAAAAAAAAATTACAATACAATATAGCCAAAAGCATAATAACACATAATACGAAACAAAAATACAGCAAAATACTGTCGATATTTAAAACACAGAGTTTTACTGAACGAGCACAGCGGACGAGACAGTTGTGGCTCTGAAATACCCGTGTGCTATACGGCACTACTGGCTCTAAGTGCAATATATCTGTCCTATTAGAAATTACGATTAGAAAGTAGGCACAATGTTCAGAAAATTGTGGACGAATAATCCGATAAAAAAGTATTCGCATCTGTCTTGATTTTATCCATTTACCTCGGGAACCGCTGTCGATGGCTCGAATCGGAAACGGCACTGTAATCAGTTTATAGTATCGATGTCGGAAAACGTACTAATGTACTGTACCTATATTTACTTTTCAGTAAACGACGCTCGGGATGGATACGTCTTAATTTTGATAAAATACCGGAAATAGCTGTGCAGACGCGGTGGACATTTTCTCCTGACTACAAACGCTGTTCGCCATCTGGGTTGAATCGTCGGGCCGGTAGCGCGTGTGACGGTTCACAGATCGCGTGACATGTACGAAAGGAGGAAAAAAATTCGGTGCGCAATCTATTATATTTTTGTGTCATAATATGATATCATAGTTGTGAAGGGAAATAAACTATTACGCTGTATTTGACTACCTATAATTAATTTTTACCGTTTTAGATAAGCGGTGTTCACTTTTGTCAATAATTACCAGGTGGGTACCAACTGATAATTATGATTATTAAGACTAGGTTTTCGGTTCACTTGCATTGTTTCCCAAAGCTACGATTCATCCCATCGCCATCGTTTTATTACATGTAGTACGTTATAGCATGTTTTTGATCGACAATCAGAAGTTTTTGTTTCACATTTTATGACAATTTTTGATTTCAAGTTGATTTTTTGCATTGACGCTGAAATCAGATTCTGATTTTTTCCTATTATTTATGATTTTATTGGTCGGACAATACCAAATTTTTTAAACGTAACCATACGACGTAAAAATCAAGTTGCTAAGTGGCGGCGGCGCGGCGACAACGTATATTTAGAATCAATATTTAATACTATTTACTCGTCAATATTATCTGTGTAGAAATGTAACTTCAAAATCAATATCAAGGCGAAATAGAATTATTATTTTCAAATTAAAAGTACGTAATTAATGTGAAATTGTGTGGCCTACAAAACTTTTTTATAGTAAAATTAAAATATATTTTTTTAAATTGTTTTAATCAAACACATTTAAATGTATTTTATTTATCATTTATTATGAATTGTTTTTATTTATATAATGGTAATTTTAAATTCATGTTAACAAGTTTTAAAAACTCAGAAATTGAAGAAAAATGTAAATAACAGCAGAATATATTGCATTTTGTTTTTCTGTATCACAAGACTATTTTGTATTTACCCTGATACATGTTTTATATTGAATTAAAAGTACGAAGATAAAATCAAGGAGGTTTTTCGTTCATAAAAATTGAAGACTTAAATAGCAATTAAATTTTAAAAACGATTTTCAGCAGGTATAATAGTTATAGGCAGGTTTTTCTTAATCTTACCAGCTATTGCAGACACTAGGAGAAACATAAAACTATAGGCTTAAAAATATAAGTGTTGAGTGAACATTGCAATCTGTTTATAGATTATTGCAGAGTTTTAAAGTACCAACTCAAAAGAATAAATATCACACTTTTACATTTTTAATTTATCTTGTTTTACAATGACATGAGGTGTTTTCATTTTTCTGAACTTCAATATTCCTACCAATCGATGTAAGGATGTTTAAAAAAATATCGTTATGCATTGGCACTGAGTAATATAATGTATAGTTGAGAAAATCTAGAAAAACAACGTGAATTGGAACATTTTATTATTCAAAACACATAATATAATATTATATGAAACATATAAAATAATCTCACATCATCATCGAATGAGTCTAAAAATAATAATATCTGTAGATATTGTTCACACAAGCACACACGCAAGACAACAATAATTATTATAATATGTATGCATAGAATAAAAAATATACATATATCAATTTTTTTTTCTTTAATTTGTTTAAATGGTAAATATATTAAAAAAAAAAAAAAATAAGGAAAATACACGCGATTGTTGCAGCAGTAGACTGTGAACAGTAATAAGAAAAAACAAACCACCGGATCCACAGCTTGTGTCAAACGTCGGCCCAGACCACTGCTCTCCTGGATCGGTCCACGCTGGCCACGTGGTTGGTAAACTGATGCCAAGACACGGCCGTCACAGGTGCGCTGCGTGATGACAAAAACAACAATACGGAATTTATAGGTTTCGTTGTAGGTTTAACTTATAATATATAATAATAATAATATGTAAACTTGTACCTGTGTTCGTTCCTCAATACAACAAGTGGTTTTTCGGGATTCGACACGGCCCATATGAACACAGATCCATCGGAGGATCCCACGGCCACGTGATCGTATTCCAAATTGAATACAGCTCTCGTCCAATCGCAACCCACTTTGAATCCGTCAGCCCTGTTCGCACACACGGTGAAAAACAACAACTTGAGAATACAACATTTGACGTTATTGACAGAATGATATTTATTTAGTCTAACATAATATTGCCTAGGCATGTCTGATTACTTTTCCTAAGCTTTATGAATAGCTACTCTGTATGTATACATATAAATTATATAATACTATATATAGAACTTCGTAATTTATTGGCTTATTGCATATATTATACTACAATAATATGTATTTACTAAGTGTAGAAGATAACGTAACGCAAAACAGAAATATTTTAAATAACTATCACATCTCTAACTAAATTCTTGGAATATCAACATTTTGAACAGTACTAAATTTATTGAAATTTATTAACAATCGTATGAAGTCGTAAAACCGGGATGTCGTCCCAGTCTTTGGTGGTCTATGACGTGAGTGGGATAATGGGATTATAATAGTATTATGGTTTTACGATCGAACAACAATTTCCAAAACTTGGTGATAAAAGGTGTTAAAATACCATCTATCGATTACAATATTATATTACAATATGCGTACACGTCATCGATGTAATTTATTGTTAAAAATCAATTTAGGTGTATTATTATTTCTCGTTTTAAATTCGAATCGTCAAAAGAGGACAATAACTTTAAAAATAATGGACGATAATAACAGGTATCTATTTAGACGAGTTGGCACCTACGACCTACCTATAATAATAACAATCGTGTATTAATAAATATTAGTTTAATTGAAATCAACTACCATAAAAGCGAAAATATCCGTTTAAATCGTTCAACTACTTCCGTACACGATTGAGGAACGACTATTGAAAAATAATAACCCCACAGTATTTGTTTAAAAAATTAATTTTCGGAGTATGGAAAAAAAAGTAATAATAATAGAGTTCGGTATATTATATAATACGCGATATAAGTAGATGGTTTGAAATTAAATAATAATCACCAGTAATTTTATACGATTTGATTTTATGTCTATACGGTGTACACGCATAACGGTTTTTTGCTTTTTGGTAAACGTCCATATAAAAACATGAGCTTATTGTAAGAATATCATGTGCTCGTTCAACATACGCATACATTCATACAGTTGACGTTTAATAGCATAACTATTATTATAATAACGGAACATAAAATTTGATATACATTTTGCTGCGTCTAATGTGTGTGCAAAAATATATTATAGCAGGTGCCAGCGTACCTACCGAAATGCGTCATACCTTTATCCGTCTATTCCGTACTTGCACTGTTTTTGTTTTATGCGTCTTGTCTTATTATTCACGAAAAGAACAAAAGACAATTTTTAAAACGAAAACCTCGGTTTTCCTCGGGGTACTTTATTCCCACCCCCACCCCTTAATTAAATAGAAAGCTTTTGAATTTAATTTTACTACGCGCATTGGCTATAAGTTCAATACTTATGGTTGAAACCTAAGAGATTGGAAAAACTTTTCAAAAAAAAAAAAAAAAAATTAAAAAAAGGCGAACGTGAAATAAATTAAAACCGTCTGAATTATATCGCGGAAAGTTAACAGAGAGTGAAAAAAATTGCAACAAAGGGGCAACGAAATTGTACTCGAAACAGTGAGGCGCGAAGCCAACTAGCCATAATTGTACAATCGGTGTCGTGAATAAAGTTTCGAAACACAAAAAGATCTAACTAAATGTTACGGGGAGCGTTTTAAAAAAAATGTCTGTATACATATACATACCTATAAAAAAAAATAATAAACCTTATCTGTAGGATTGTACTTACACACACACACACACACACACACACACACACACACACACACATAGATGTATACGACAACTGCGACTGTTGCAGTGAACGTATACGGTACGCATAATAACTATATATGTATATATACTATATAGTCGTATAAATAAACGGTTTTATCTCGTTACGATAGTTATTTTTATTCGCGAGACTCCCGTATAATTTAGTTTTCCGATCTCCTCCCCGGCAAATGGATTCGAGTTAATAAATAATAATAATGAAAATGATGATGATAATAATAATAATAGTAACGACAACAATAATAGTAATAATAACTACAGCAGTGAGGAGAACAGAATATTAAATAAATATGACTTGCTCGAATGTGTTGATTATTTTGTTCGTCCTGAGATCAACCAGCCGCAGGGTGTCGTCCCGGACACAGCTCAATAGGTAATTACAATCTGAAACACAACCGTAATCGATATAATTATATATTGTTTGTCGACAACTTGTGCAAATAATGGTTATAATAATAATAATAATAATAATAATAATAATAATCGCAACGCATTATTCGCGCATAAACATACAATCCGCCTCCGCCGCCGCTAAGGTCCATTGCCGAAGCTGCCCGCTAAACCCACAGACAGCGTATAGCAGTCGAATAGTTATTATTATTGCAATTATTATCAATGGTACATGTTATTATATTTTATTATTAATATATATTACCGTCGATCGTCGATATAGTCTTAGAGAGACTACACGACTGTAGCCGGCGGCGGTGGGCGCTATAAATGAACTATGATAATAATAATATTATATTATACTTTACGACTATGCGATATGTGCACCGAACCATTATAATATTGTTCACGCCGAATATCATACACCTCTCATCCACATACCCGGTATGCGGTCCAATTTAAAACCTAACGCGATCGCCAAACGCCTCGGTGCAACTTGTGTGTGTGTGTGTGTGTATACTCAAACGTATTATTATTTATTGCACATTATTATCATCATCGATAAATACGAAGCGTTCATTTCACGCTGCAGCGGCCCATGCTCACTCGGGGGGTTGTATCGACTATACGTGTATGATATCCGATTTGGGTTAAACGATCTCGGGTACGTTTATCGAGAGTTGCACGCGTTATGATTATTAGCTGGTATATTACGTACAGAGTGAAACAGAAATACCTGACAAGTGAAATAACTTATATTTTGCTCGAATCCATATTCAAACATTTTTCTTTATACATATAATTCATAGAAACTAGCGATACAGGTTCAGAATGACATTTTATATCAAATTTGTAAAAGCTAATTTTTATGCAAAAATTTTGATGATAAAAACGTTTGTTTAAGTAAGGCATGTCTATTTTTTACAACTTTTTAAAAAGTCAATATTTTATAGGAGTGAATGAATAAATTTGAAACGCAAAAACATTTTTCAAAATGACATTATTGGAAATATCTTCACATAAGTACATTTCTTAAACTTTTTACTGTCCATATAATTTTCATAATGTTTGGCGTACGCTCTTAACTAGTATCAATTTTGTATTTTTATTTGTCATGTCATTCTATTACACCCTGTATATAAGTAGTATGTTTTTATTGACCCACACGTTTAATAAAATAATAATATAACACGCGGCCATTAGACAATCAAAAAGATCGCGTAAGTCGTTTTAACCAGTATATTATTATTATAATATCCTCGCAGACAGGTTTTCACAGAGAAAAAAATAAATATACTGCAATAGGTGTTTTACCTGTAGTCACGCTCGCTCCCATTTTTCCTTTAATAGGACGTAATGAATTTATTTAAATTCTGATTTTTGGTATTTATAATATATTATTATGCACCTATGTAGTACCATATTTGCAAATAAGACTTACATTTTTCACGCCGTTTAAGCAATTGGAACGAGTAGTTTCTGAATTATTAAACTGTATGCATAGATTCAAAGAGGATAATATTCCATGGTAATAATAGCGGTTTAAATATATATGTGGGCTATCGGCTATGGTATGATTTGAAAATCAACACTATCCTTAGTAATGTGTACATATACAGTTTAATAACTCGTTCAAACCACTTGTTCGAATTTCAATTTAGATGTATCAAATTTTTGATAAATACCTTCAGCAGTTTAACAATTTACGCAGCGAAAACGGGGTAGATATGGTTCTCGTTTGGAAAAAGGAAGTTTATATAGAGTCAAAAAACGTTTCCGAGTTTCAAACAATTGTATATAGAAATAGAAATTTTATATTTTGAAATCTGTTCCTTAAACCTTAACTATACTTACAGACTATTGCAATAAACTAAATTTGAATACATTCGTCATTAATGAATAAAAATAGATGAGCATGTTTGATAAATTGTGAAGTATAATATACAACTATAAAAACGTACCGTTCGGGATCGGCGCGAGTGTACTACCATATATATATATATATTAGAAATGTCATTATTGTGCACATCACGTATGGTACACCTATGGTTATAACCAGTGGCGGCTTGAAGTTTGTTTTCCTTGACTCACGTTTAATATTTTTGCAGAGCCCACACTGAACATTTTCCACTGCCCTCCAAACAGTGAATTCATAGTTTGTAGTTAAGTAATCCTTAAAAATTGTTCGCAGGCTACCTTTTTCAACCGTATACGAGACCCACCCATTAATATTTTTGTAAGCCGCACGTCATTCGAATATACCTCCTTTGAGCCTCCACCAGCTACGTATATAACACTTGAGTCTTCTTTAACAGCGCCGCTGCGGGTTTACTCACACGAATAGTATAAAAATTAATAATATTATACGATTGGGCGCATGCTCATACTTTTTTTCCGTTTCGACTGAGTACAACAACAATAATAATAAATTATACTATAATATTATAGGCGACGAAGACGGAGCTGGTCGCCAAAACTAGTTTTAGGCGCAAACATTATACTATTATTATATGTCACATGACTTGTCGTTCTGACTGGGTCAAACGTAGTGCGCTGTCCCATATAAGATGTGTACAATTATTTAAAAAATATTCCAGTCCGCAGTGGATTATGCATCATTTGTGAAAAATGCGGTCCATCCTATTTACCGACCGGCTCCGCGGCATACTCTTCCGGGACAGTGCGCGTGTAATATATCCATATAATAATAATAATAATATCGTCTAAGCAGAGCGTGTGTGTAAACCGCGTGGTGAGTATATTGTAACAATAATAATATTATTATACTAATATAAATGTATGATGTTCTTGGCGGAAACGCATGCCACCGAAATCGACGTGAATACCGTCATACATTACAAATTACAATGTGCGGATGAGCAAATTCGCGACGTCGATTCTCGGAAACACTTGCGGTATTATAATATAGCCGATGAAACCTCGCGTGGGAGTGTGAGACAAACTATTATAATATTATTATTATTATTATTATGACCGACACTAGGCCCGTGTACAGTTATTTTTTTGTCCAAATTCGATTGTCCACAATAATAATTGTATAATAAACTCGCGACCGGCCTGCAGTGAAAGAATAGTATATTATATACATTGTTTTACCACTGCAAACCGTGTATTTATAATATGTATAATAAACCGAATAAAATCCTGTGAGAAATCACTCTAGCACTGATGTTTACGATTTGTAATTAACTGCGCAGCAAGACGAGGTATATAATAATATTATAATGACTATTAAATCTCGTAAATAACGTGCTACGTGCGCGGTAGATACGCAGTGTCCATCCATAAACATTAGATGTATAAGTACTCTCATTTTAACAGTGTTGCGGACATATTATATATATGTATATACGACCAAGCATCGCCCTGTATGAATAGTAGTAACGCGGCGACGATTATTATTATTATAATTATTATAATAAAAATAGTGTTCATTAATAATGAAGTGTTCCCGACGTCGATTTCGTCGTCGTAATGGAAAATCGAGACAAAAACTCGCCCACTTTAGCACCGCAGTTTTATTAATCGTCGCGAGGATAATTATAGTGCACCGATGCGAACTCGCGGTTTTTAACGTTTCGCTAATTAAAACATCCGTGTATAGTAACAACCGTTGGACATGAATATTTTGTGATGGATATACACGACGTGCATATAATTGTATGTTGATGTTGTAACACGGTCATTTTTACTAAACAATTTTAGAGCATATTCTGAACAAAGCACGAAATACTTACACGACACCCACTATAGTTGGCTATATCAATGAGACATCGAAAATCATCAATTCGGAGCCGGACGTCGTCATCGATATCAAGACCCTTCCACCACGTCAACATTATGGGTACTTCGAAAATTATAACCGCGGAACGAAAAAAAGACAATTGGATACAGGACAAATTGGTCTTCAAATCGTCGTGCGCCCCGACCAATTGTTATTCCAATCGATAGATATTGAAAAGGTTCATACCCACTTTGCCGAATCCCAATTCGCCGACAAATATACCAGTTTTAAAATATTTTTAAAATATTCCCTTTTCGCCGACAGTTTAGTTTGCCGACGTCTCGGTTCGCCGACAAATTATTAATAAAGTTTTCATTTTCCCGATTCGCCGACAGTTGACAATGATCTTATCGAAAACGGATAAGATAGCGATAATATTACTATGGTATACTATTGATATAAGTTCGATATTTAAATGTTTTTCCACACATAAAAATATAAAATCCACATGTAGTATAGATTGGTGAATTTAGTTCAGTCCTCCAGCCGTCTTTATAGCGAACCTTAGGATAACTATATTGAAAAGTGATTTATTCTTATTACAAATTAAATTAAAAATGGAATGGTATAAAATCAAATCTGAAAAAGAACGAGATTTACTAGTGGTCGATAATTTTATTCATCGCATTGATAGAATACGGGACACAACTGAGTATTATAAATGTATTCAAAATTGCGGAGGTCGTGCTATTTTAAAAAACAATACCGATGTTGTATTGTCGAAAAAACACGATCATCCAATACATGGAGTTATAATAATTAAATAATGTATCTACTGACTTAATGGATTAATAATCATTTATACATGATACATTTGTATTTATTTTTATTTTTTAATAAGTCGGCGAATTGGGAGTCGGCAAATTGGGAACATGTAAATAAATAGTCGGCGAACTGGGGTGTCGGCGAATTGAAAGTCGGCAAACTGGGATGTCGGCGAATTGGGATTCGGCAAATTGGGTTTCGGCGACGTGGGAAGACATGATTGAAAATTATTTTAGTGCAGCATTATATAATATACACATTAAACAATTTTAATTAAGTTATCAGTGGCATCGCACATAATACATTTAAATAGTGCTATCAACTAGTGTCGTTATATTGTTATCGAGTAATTTATTATCTTAATCAATAAATACCTTAATGGATTAACCCATATTATGTATTTTATTGTTCTGAAACCTCGGCG